GGCTTTAAGGCTAGAAAAAAGCATAAAGAGCTAAGGCGATTGCTATGGCTTGGAAGGCCCATACTTCGGCCAAAATTCGCGCCATTTCTGTCACCACGCAGCAATCTACCGCATGTCTCCAATGCTGCACTATTTGTGCAATGAGGATGCAAAACATGAGCATGCGTATGAGAACTAATACTTTGGCGCAGTGCCAAATGACAGGCGACGCGCCCCCAGTTTCCAAAAACATTTATGTTTTTCATAGGGCCGAAACGGATAGCCGCAATGCTTCCACGCACCGTCCTTTTGAAGCAGCGTCGACGGACAAATGCCAAAGCCCAATTATGAACGCATTATTGCGTCTGGAGCGAGAAAATCGCTTCAGAAGTTCTGACTTAGCCGCCTCTCGATTTAGTCTCGTCCTTACCAGAGCAGAAAAACGTGAGCGACACGCGCTGCCGCTAATGACAGAGTTTCAATGGCACGATTTCGAGCTTCGTTTAGGACGAAACTGAATCAAGGGGGGGGGGGCTATATCGGAACTTCTAAAGCAATTTCCTTGCTTCAGAAGCCGTATTTTGCAGTCGCAGACGGGCTGCGGCCTGAATGAGAAGCCTGCTGCGGTCACCTCGTAAAACTGAGCTGCTCCCAAATGTGCCGGATGCTGCCTTCAAAGCTGAGTTTATACTCGGCCGTGAGGCTGACACCCAGCAACTCTGACATGTCCTCAAAACGGGCCAAGCAGAATAATCTCGCCGTCCAAAAACCGCTTCTTACCTCTATTTTCCCCTCTCCTCGTTCTGTATACTTGGCCTTCAATGATGCAATGTATTCCGGCATCCTTCCAAATAACTCTCTAGCATTGGGATAAGCAGATACCGCACTTATAATCTGAAACTAAGGTAATGATGAACAGATACGCAATCGATTGATTAGAACCTACCTTAACATCTCCGGACCCTACAACTTCTTGTGCCAAAAAACAATGTCGAGGATTAGCATCCAGAAAGGGTAAGAAAAATCTGAAAAGACTATCTTTTGTGACTTATTACATTAGGTGTTGGAGCTTACCTATCCAAAAAAGCTTCTTTCTGCAGCACATATGGGTTGGTTGGTTTTTCAATGTTGGTTATTGCAAGGCTGGCAAGATTATCCTAGAAAAAATCTTTTGACTAAGTCCATGGCAACAAAAAACAAACCAGATCATCAGCAGTGTAGGGACGGATAAGATAGTTGACAATTGAGAGAGGTAATAGTACTCGATTGCCAAACATGTTAAGGAGAGGCCCTTCCGAAGCTATGAGTCTAAAGATTCAAGTAGTAGGACCATGATTATGGTTTTCACCAAGGCAAAAAAAATGTTCAGAACTTGAAGGTTCGGTAATCATACCTAGAACATTCGGAGAGGAATCCTCCATTTATC